TGTGTGTGGCAGCATCACTGAGAGCAACACAGGCAATAGCGTGTGTGTGGCAGCATCACTGAACTGCTCACATTCAGGAACAACCTAAAAACTGGTGGTGGCCAAATCAAATGTTACCTCTGCACAGAACACACGCAGTAATGTAAAATTATGCATAGCTCTAGGTGCTGACGTAGGAAGGTCCTCAGGCCATATGCTTTGTTAAAGTGTGGGTTATTAATGCATACATAAGAGCCTATTTACTTTAAAAATCATAAAGTTTTAAGGATGTAATAATAAATACCAGTACTTCTGGGAAGGGGAGCAGGGCTGAAGGTGGGAGTAAACGAAAGAAGGGACATCTTTGTATGTATCTCTGAATTTTTTAGCAAATCACAATAACACTGTATGCAGGTATTATTCATAATCCTAATTTTTTTAAAGACGAAAAAAATGTAGATGAGTAGATTATCTCTGTGCAGTGGGACTCCAGGGGATGTTTTCTTTCTTTAGGCTTAGCTGTTTCCTAATTTTCTACAATGAGCATGTAAAATTTTTATAATCAGGTTTTTTAAAAAACAAAGAAGATAGCAGAAAGCTCATTTTGGAGTACTACCTGTGGATTATTCCCACTGTCAGCCTATAAGGATACAGGGTATGTTTCAATTGCTCCCTTATAGCATGGCCACTTTACACATGAGGGAAACTGAGGCCACAGGCCTAGGCCCTTCCCCTATGCCCCAGCACTAATGATACAACAAAAACAATCAGCCCCCACTCTGGGGAGGCTCCTGGCAGACTTAATTCCAGGAAGCCCCGCCCTCCCACCCACCTCCAACCCCCAGGACTGCCCCAGAGAACAAAAAGAAGAAAAGAGCCAGCTCACGTTTGCACAAGTTTAATCCCTGCTATCCTGGTCCCAGATTCCAGAACCCTTCCAGGCCAGAATTCCCTTTCCCTGGTCACTATCACACTTCTCGCCACTGGGATGCCAAAGCCATACCCAGTCTCACAGGGACCACTCTTCCTCAGCCTGACTCTTGTTGAATATGGATACATGACCTTGCTCAAATCTCCATCTGGTCGCATTCAGCAAAGGGAAAGCAGGAAGAGAAAGGGGTGGAGATGTCAGGGGCTCATCTGGGAGTGCAGCAGCCAACCCAGGAATAGGAGCCAGGTGGCAGGGCAGAGACCTGTGAGAGCGCCACTGCTCATTTGCTTCTTGATCCATTTGGTGTATTTGGTGACACGGGTGTACACGCCTGGATTCTCTGCTCTTGCGCAGGCCTTTTCCCAGGATAATACCCCAGCCAGAATCCATCTGCCCTCAACTTCGCAAGCCAATGGTCCCCCAGCATCTCCCTGGATGAAAAGAGAGGAATATTGGAGGCTCTGGGTCCTGCTGGACCCCACAGGACCTAGAATGCCCACCCTGTGAGTTCTGCATGAGTCTTTCATTCCTTAAAGGGCTCACTACCTGGGGGCCTCCTTTAGCTCCTCAGTTAAGGAGAATAATGCCCAAAATCAATGTCTCGGGAGAAGGCAGGAGAAAGCAGAGCACTGCCCAGTGATGATAACAATGAAGAAGGCCAAGCCAACCCCTCCCCAGAGGACTGCCCCCACCTGCGAGTAGAGATCTACTAGAACCTCCTAAAAACTCACATTGCACAAGTTTTCTCCATAGTTGGTGGCACAGATCATGTTCCCCAGGACAAGGGGGAAAATTCGGGGGAAGATAGACTTCCTGTGGTAAATCCGGTCACACCTCTTGTTGTCCATGATAAACACCTCTGCCTCCTGCAGCTCTGGGGTCAGCGGGGAGTTGGCTGTGGAGGAGCCCAGTGGGGTGAGCACTGACTCCTCTCAGCTCTGTCCTCTGCTTAGTGTCCTATCACCCTGCCTAGAGACTCTGCCAACCACACCCTGTCATACCTGTAAGATCCCCTTCACTTGCGCCCCACCCACCCACCCACCCTCCACACACACACACTAGTATACATCTCGTCTGGCAAGTACCTTACACTCTAAGGCTCTGATTCAAGATCCCTTTCTTGGAAAGCTTCTGCTTCTGAACCAAGCAGGCCACAATCCAAGTTCCACTGTAGCCCCTTATAAGCTGATACCACGTGCCAGACTCCAAACCTTGTTTGCACCAGTGATTACCTCTGCTACCTGATTAACACTCACTCCTCCTTCCAGCATCTCAGACAGTCTATCTGCCAAGGACTTATCATAGATCCCTCCTGGCTTGGCCTCAAGACCACCTGGCAAAGTCTTTGTCTCTTTCCTCCTCAGCCTGTGCCCCTACCCATGCTCAGCTATAACTTCCTTCTAAGGCAGGGCATGCATTTCCAATGCCAAGGGCTAGAGATGTGGCTGATGCTCAAAGTTTGTCAAGTGAATAAATGAGCAAGTGAGTTAATTTATGAATCTCCAACTCTGGCCTCTATAAGAGGCAGATGATCAGGCACAGCCCAGGCAAGGCTAGGCCTGAATGAGGTACTCATATAAATAGTGAAATGGTTACCATATGAGAAGTGATCAGTCCTAATACATTTAGAAAGCAGAAGGGGCCAGAGGTGACAAAGACAAGCTTCCCAAAAGGCACCATAAGGGGGTCCAGCATGAAAGCAGTGTGCTCTCTGATATCACATCCACCTCCTGCCCATCCACTCACGTGAAAAGCGCTGTTTAACCTGGCTCCAACCAGTCACCCAGCACGGCGTCCCAACCTTCAGGTTGAAGTTGGGTTCAGGGAGACAGATGGGCTGCACATAGTTGCTGAAGGTGACAGCCGTGTGAAGCTGGAGAAGGGCAACATCACCTATGAAGAAGGTCTGGCCCCAGTACTTGGGGTGCATAATAATGTCCTTCACGGGGATCCAGAGGGCCCTGGTGACATTCACAGGATGCAGCTTGGACGTGCCAAGCATTACCGAATACTCCTTGGTGCTGAAGGAGATAGAGAGCTTTACCTGGTAAATATCAGGCCCCATGGCCCCTCTCCCTTAGCAGAAATCCTGCCTGATTTCCTCTGTTCGCCACATCTTGCCCATTCTATCCCAGTGGTCCTCTGGGTCATAGGTCTGACTGCCTCTTCATTTATCATTTAAGTTGATTCAAAGTGACCTGGTCTACGTGCTATACTTACAGGTATAGAGGTGTTGATGTACACATACGTTCTCCTGTGTGGGGGAGTGGGGAGTATATTCTGGGTTTTCTTGTTGCTTAATCCCTGGCCCCCAGGACATCCTGACCATGCCTCTCCCTATTCTGGATGACCCTCCCACTCTCCCACAACCCCTCTCCTCCCACATGTTACACAGAGGAAATGAGGAAGTTGGGCTGGGCCTCTTGTAGCTCTGGGTCTCTAGGCCCTGACACATGGGCCATACTCACCCTTGGATGCAGTGGGCAGCAGTCACCACCCAGCTGAAGTCAATGAGGGCCCCTCCACACACGTGCTCACTCTCCATCTGTAGGCTCACCTCCCAGGGCCAATGGCGGGTCATGGGCATGTCCTCTGACCACCAGGGCTTACCACAAACTTCAGGCACAGTGACCACATAGAGGAGGATGAGAATTACTGAAACCAAGGCACCCTTAGGGCCAACGTGCACAAAACTATAAACTGAGGGACTTGTTCTCATTTCAAAGAACAGGAATCTAACGGGGAGAGAAGGTCAGTGGCCTATCCAAAGGCACTGAGCTAGACAGAAATTGATAATGACAGAGATAAAAAGCATCAAGACAGAAACAGAGATAGCACAGCGAGAGACATACTAAGAGTCACTGGGAGCAATCAGTACAGAACCTCAAAACAAAAGAGAAGCAAAGGAGTCCCAAAATGAGAAGGGCATTTTTTTTTTTTTAGACAAGAGTCTCACTTTGTTGCCCTCAGTTGAGTGCTGTGGCATCATAGCTCACAGAAACCTCAAACTCTTGGGTTTAAGTGGTTCTCTTGCGTCAGCCTCCCAAGTAGCTGGGACTACAGGCACCTGCCACAACACCCGGCTATTTTGTTGTTGTTGTTGTCATTGTTGTTTGGCAGGCCCCAGGCTGGCTTCAAACCCACCAGCCCTGGTGTATGTGGCTGGCACCGTAGCCGCTGAGCTATAGGCACCGAGCCAGAGTACATTTTCTTGTGTCTGGGGAAGTTCCTAGGCCATGATCCTGAAAAGTAAGATGTTACTGTATCTGAATCTGTTAGATGTACCAGGCCTCTTTCCCTATACTGCTCAGTGTCAAGAAAAGCTTCTGACTTCTGTGCCAGGCCTCTGTCCCTATACTGCTCAGTGTCAAGAAAAGCTTCTGACTTCTGTGTCAGAAGTTTTCACACTGACTATTCAATGCTCCAGTATGAAGCCCACAGAAACCCCTAAAGTATGGCTCACACATTCTTAGTTTTTGTTTTGTTTTGTTTTGTTTTTGAGACAGAGCCTCAAGCTGTCCCCCTGGGTAGAGTGCCTGGCATCACAGCCCACAGCAACCTCCAACTCCTGGGCTCAAGCGAGTCTCCTGCCTCAGCTTCCCAAGTAGTTGGGACCACAGGCGCCCGCCACAACACCTGGCTATTTTTTGGTTGCAGCCATCATTGTTGTTTGGCAGGCCTGGGCTGGATTCGAACCCACCACCTTAGGTGTATGTGGCTGGCGCCTTAGCCACGTGAGCCACAGGCGCCAAGCCATACTTAACTAAGCCATTCTTAGTTTGCACATAGTTCCACCAATCAAGTTGTATGACTGGATGAATACATGAATAAACAAAGGTGCAGAGATTCTAAATAAAACATTAGCCAACATGTCATAGCTATATATATATGCATATATATATATGTTTTTTTTAAGACAGAGTCTCACACTATCACCTGAGCTAGAGTGCCATGTCCTCAGCCTAACTCACAGAACCTCAAACTCCTGAGCTCAAAGGATCCTCTGGCCTCAGCCTCCCAGAGTGCTAGGATTACAGGAATGAACCACCATGCACAGCCCACATTATATTTTTTTAAAACAATGCACCATGATCATATGAGGAGTGTCCCAGGAGTGCAAGGGTGATCATATAGTGGAAGAGCTCTCTCAGTGCATTCTCCACATAAATGATTCTAACAATAAGGAGATAAAGACTACGTGCTTTTCTCCATAAACACAGAAAAAGGCATTTAAAAATTCAACACATTATTTATGACTTTTAAAAAACCCTCTTACTTGTGCTAAAAATAGAAAAGAAATCCTTAACTTTATAGAAGTTAGGTATCTCCCAAACCTACAGCAAACATATGACATTAAAGAACAGGCAAAAGAGAATCTACCCCATCAGAGATCAGAAATAAGGAATCTCTGTAAGGAGAAGACCAGAGAAAAATGAGAGAGCACAAGGTGGCTTCTGGGTGAAAAAGTAGAACCGTCCTACTTATTCACCTGGTAGTAATTACACAAGTGTGTTCACTTGTGCGACAATTCCTCGAGCTGGACCTTTTTTGTGCACTTTTCTGTAATGCATGTAATACTTCAATAAAACAATTTACTTTTTAAATCAATAACATTTCTCTATTCTAACACAATGAACTAGGAAATATACTCAAAATAAAATATATTTTCAATAGAAAAATATTATAAAATACATCAGGATTAACTTATCTAACATCACACAAAACTTCTGTGGTAATTAATTTTTTTTCTTTTTTGAGACAGAGCCTCAAGCTGTCACCCTGGGTAGAGTACTGTGGCATCACAGCTCACAGCAACCTCCAACTGCCGGGCTTAAGTGATTCTCTTGCCTCAGTCTCCCAAGTAGCTGAGACTATAGGCGCCCGCCACAATGCCCAGCTATTTTTTGGTTGTAGTTGTCATTGTTGTTGGGCAGGCCTGGGCTGGATTCGAATCCTCCAGCTCCAATGTATGTAGCTGATGCCTTAGCTGCTTGAGCTACAGGCGCCAAGCCAATAAATTTTAAACTCTAATAAAGGACACAGAAAATGATCAGAATAAATGGAGAGACGGTCTCTGCTCTTAAGTAGAATGAATGAATGAATATTTTAGATGTAATTTTTCCTGCTATCTATAAATTCATTGGGCAAGGTAGAATTTTTAGAAAACATGATGAAAGTAATCCAAAACAGAAATAGGAAAACAATATTCCACATATAGCTCCATCTTTGAAAAAGTACAACAAAGAAGAGCCACTTGTCCTAGCAGATATTAAAACACAGGTGAAAGCCACAATAACAAGAATAGTATGGTACTGTCACAAGGACACATAAAGGAGCCAACAGAAAAAAGAGACAGCTTAAGATTGTTTTGTGTATTACAAGAACTTGATGTAAACAAAACAGCCACCACAATCAGTGGATAAAAGAAGGAAAAATTAGTACTCCTTGTGTTGGGAGACTGGCTCAACATAAAAGAAACAAGAAAAACAAAACTAGACTCCTTGATAATAGCACTTGAAGACCTAAAGGTGAAAGGTAAAAATGTAAAGCTAATGTACTATGTGACATAGGGCGGGAAAGGACTCCATAAACAGAACCTCAGAATACACACCATAAGGCACAAACCAATTAACTTGATTACATCCAAATCAAAAAGTTTTGACTCCACGAGCAAAGTTAACAGGCAGACAGACCAAGAGGAAAGTAGATAAAAGAATGATATTGATGGAAACTTTTGAAGTTGATAAGTACACTGTGGTTATGTAAGAGAATATTCTCAGAAAATATATACCAAAGTATTCAGCAATAAAGACCTATGCTATATGTTACCCTCAAGTGATTCTAAATATATGTGTATGTGTTCCTTGTACTACTTACATTTTTTCAGTATTCTGTAAATTTAAAATTATTTCCAAATAAAAAAAAATTCTTAATGGAAAATTAAAAGAGCAGGAAACAAACATATCTGGAACAAATACTATTTATGTAAACTAAAAATACAGGTACACAAAATAGCAACATGTATTTTAACAAGAGCACACACAAACAGAAAGATCCACATAGAAGAAATATTAAGAAAGGCTGAGGGGAATGGGAGTAGTACCTGGTTACAGGCAGGGATAACTAACTTAATCAACCAAGCAATAATGAATCAGGTGGAGTCTTATTGCAATGCGGGCAGGCTCACCAACTAAAGAGAGCAGGAGTAACCCAACCCTTCCTCCCTGAGGTCTAAGGGAAAAGACAGGAAACCCCAGAAGAGCCGGCCTCTGTAGACACCACCAAAAGGCCCAGGAGGCTCTATGTCCAACTGAAGAGCACAGAGTTTGAAAGGTTTCTGTATGGGAAAGGGTCTGCATCAGCTTCCTTAACATACCTCCGGATGGGATGCAACCTGAGAGGAATTCAAAGAGCCTCAGCATTCCCATGGGAGGCCCCTGATATTCTTTTGTCCACACTGTTAGGCTTCTAAGTTCTGGCAGCTACTGCTGCTAAAGCTGTTCTTTAGAAAGTGGGCCCCTTAGATTTAAGTGCCTGCTCCTTACAGACTCAGAAACCTATGTGACTCCCTTCAGAATCTACCCTCACAAAAGTTGAAGCATTTCTCAAAGAAGGGGTTCACCCTACTCACCTGGTTTGTTTTTGTCCTGTGTGTAACCTGGAAGAGAAAGGGGGGACAGAGACAAAGCAAGAGTTCATGACAGAGTAACTGCAAAGAAGTGAGTGCATTTTGTAGTAATTAGTTGATTCATTCATTCACCAAATATGTCCTAATCTTCCACTGTGTTCCCAGTCGGGAGCCAGAAGCTGGGGAGACAGAGGTATATCAAACAGAACCTGCCCTCAAGGAGCACAGGGTCTAGCAGGAGTGACAGAAATAAATACGCAACCACCTGTCCACCTGTATGAGATCAGTACAAGGCCAGGGCCATGGGTGTCAGATGAACCCAGAAAAAGCAGTGGATAGAAAAGACTTCTGGGAAGAAGAGTTATTATGCCAAGTCTAAAAGATGAGAACGTAAAACAAAAAACTGATAACGACATTCCTTGCAGAAGAAACTTCCCGGTGCATGCCAAAGATTCCAGGGGATGAAGGGCAGGTCCTGTGATGGCAAGAGAGGAGCCAGGGAAGGAAAGCAGAGAGCCAATCAACCAGGCCGAGGCCAAATGGAAAGAGGAAGGCCAACAGGTGTGACAAGGCCAGACTTGTGTTGGGGCTGCAGCATAAAGAATAGAGAGAAGGTCACAAGACTGAGGGCAGTGAAATCCCAGGGGAGCCTCTGCAGAACCAACACAAGAAATGAGGAAGTGTTATGAGAACAGACATGGTGAGCTGGACATGGGACTCAGGGACAAGGGTGAGTCTAGAATGACACCTCAATTTCTGATTTTGGAGAAGAGTGACTGCCATAACCGAGCTAGAAAACAGAGTAAGAGCAGTAAGCCTCAGTTTTAAATGCCAAGGGGTTGAGACATTTCTAGGTCTTTCTGGTGGAGATACCCAGCAGGTGGCTGCACATCCAAACATGCTGTTTTAAAAGGTATCATCACATAAATGACAGCTCAATCGTTGGGGCAAGTGAGTTCACCCAGGCAGCAGTAAAGAGGGAGG